TCTTATGCTGCAGTGTGTAACGCGATTATTAGCACGTACAATAATTTTGCGTTCCACGATTAATGCGGGAGGAGTGAATATCGCGCGGAATAATAACTCGGTCAATCGAACTTGAACATCTCGCCGGTATTTCGGTCAAAATATCTGATTAGTTTATTCTTCTCTCTATAAATTTTAATCGAGTTTACCTCTCTTGTTTCATCCGCATGAACAACTATTTCTTCACTCTATACTAATCGATACCGACAGTTTTCATTCGATAAGCAATTTAAGAATATAAGCAGGAAGTCCTCGAAATATCATAGCTCTAAGGAATATTCGCGAGTTCGATCACGGGCCCAGCTTTATCCGTAATTAATGTTAATCCGATTTCTCATTGATACCTAACCGCCAATTGCGATGAATTATTCACTTCGATATGGATTACGTCCGCGCGAGTACACCGAAATTACAGATACGAATTTCCGTTTATGAAGTCTTCTCAATTACCGCAGTAATGCGCATTATTTATGCGCTGCGTTAATAATTCCTGAATCCTTCCGCGTTTCTCTTGCGCCGCCGGCTTGCAGCCGGTGGCGGTGGCACAGCTATTGATCTTTGCACCGAATTGAGGTCCGTGTGAAATGATCTTCGAGAAAGTCAACGCGATATTGAACTTTATTCTAATCGTAGAAATTAACGTTACTCTGTTCGTATAATCTTAATGCACATTGACTGCCACGTGTGTTCAATTGGATACACACATATGTGTTTAGGGCTATATGAGTTCAGAGCGTCGTCAATTTTAGTAAGAAATTTAACACATTATTTCTGCTTTTACTGCATGAAGAGAATTATATTTTTGCTAAAGTATTCCAAAATATAATTTAGTATTCTGAAAATACAAATCTGAAAATAATTTTATATATTAGACGATACAAATAATTATATGGGATTCTCAAACCGATTATTAAAATGTCAAAATATTTTGCAACATTGCTCATCACGTTTGAGTTTTCTACATAAATTATTTTAGTGATACATAATTATTTTAGTTTTAATACAATTATTTTTAACACGATTGAATTGAAAGAAGATCAAAATGATTTTTATTGAAATTAAAATAATTGTATGTATTGTTATATTAATTTAAATTACTATCAGATCTGCATCTAACTAAATTTTTACATATATCATAATCGTTCTTTCCGTGTATCATTTGTGTATGAACCGAAAAACAATTTGCATTAATTTTATATATCTTATAATATATTGTAAATAGTGAGAAGAAGCCTATCAATTTTTTGCCAAAGATTTTTGTTAAAAAATGTATTTTATTGGAAGATGTATTTTAATGTGAAAATTTTACTTAAAATTTACTTAATAAACGTTATACAAGAAATGATAGTGTAGCGTTAGGAGGCCGATTATAAAAATCCATGTGACAGTCAAAAGGTTAAGTAACTTCCTTTATTAAGAAACGCAACGAGCAAAACAATAAAACAACGCCACACGAATCCTAATGGTTGTATTGACCGAATTGCCAAATGCAGGAAATATACGTTAGAAAAAGTCATTGTATTCAATAACGTGAATTAATATATTTCGATACGAGATGTGGGATATATACGCGAATGAACATTGCGTATATATGTATAATATTGCGTTCCGTTGTTGAGAACTCTTGGCGCACATATAGAATCCGCGGTAGGTTCTGGAGGAATTCCGAATAGCCGTGCCCGCGGTCCCAGGGGCTCCAAAATCTTTGCCAGGTGTGCGGGAACAGCTGCTCTCTCACCGCGTTGGGGATACGTGCAAAACTTCTTTCTATACGCGCTGGCACGGGATGCATTTTATTTAAAGATGACGAATGCGAAATAGATTTATCGTCCTGCCATGCCGAGGCGCGTTTCGCCAGCCATCGTTTTTCTTCCCGATCGTAATGATACAGTGGCATTGCGATGCAATGCGAATCGTTTGTATTTTTGCAGATCAAAAAATATAAAATATCTACCGTCACTGATAATTAAATTATCAATTTAATAATCTTATTCATAAAACACTATGATTTTATAAAAATTGTAAATTTAACGTGAAATCTTGCTTATTAAACGTATAATTTTATTGAAGATTTTAACGTTATTAAATAATTATTGTATAGCTAAAAATAAATTAATCTTTGTTTAAAAATAAATACATATAGAATTTCTACACGGAAAGAATGATTTTGTTGAAAGGTCTAAAAATTTTGCTAAATACAGATCTGAAAATAATTTTTTGTTGAATCGTCAAAATAATTTGTTGGAATGTTAAAACTGATAAGCATTGCTATAAAACGTTTTGATACTCTAGCAATAATTTGCACAAAATTATTTTGATTATTGAACAAAAATTATTTTCAGATCTGGATTCAGCAAAATTGTTCTTTTTTTCTTTCCGTGTAGAAATGCAATAAAAAAGAAAACGGACTACTGCGCTGTGTTATTTTGATCGAAAGATTTTTGAAATAAAATTTTTGAATGTTCCTGGAACACGAATACGATAGAAGTTCGCCGATACCCAAAGTCGAACACGAAAACCGTCGCCGTAACCTGCTGCTTCGTTTACCAGCTGGCATGGTCTCTTCCGGTGCAGGAAACGTACCGGTTGCTTCGGAAAGTGCCTAATCGTGTCTGCCAGACGAAACCGCGTGACGACTCCGAGGGAAATCACTGTAAATCGAATCGAGTACACCGAGTTCAAGGGGAAACAGGAATGCATTTTCATATCCTGACTATAATTATACTATCGAACGAGTTGATGGCGTATAGTTTATCGAATAATTAATTAAGCTGAGCCAGGCCGATTAACGGCACAGACCAGAAGATCCTGTCGATATCACACCCGGAATTGTGCGTGATAGTGTTACGGCGATACATTACGAGACGCGCTTTTCCGACTGTTTACCAGGCCGTGTTGTTTTCCGCGCGGGACGTAACTTGCGCAATACAACCGCAACCGCGATTCTATCCAGCACTCTGTTGCTGGGAGGCCAACATAAACCACATCTAACATGTCCCGCACGTCTGTTAGTCTGCACAGCCAAATCGGCTACTTTCTCGCTCGCAGGCGTACTTTTTTCATCCGAGTCTCTCTTTCCCTTTTCGCTCTCGCTTTCTACAAATGTATCTGCGAGCGAATGCAGTGCACCGCAGTAAATTACCTCCGGAAAGTCTTGCTCAGCTAGAATTGAGAACTTTGCGTGACTAATCGTTTAGCCCTTTTCGTTCTCTCTCTCTCTCTCTCTCTCTCTCTCTCTTTCTCTCTCTCTCTCCGTGTATTTGTGTGCGTGCGTTAATTTACAATCGCTCTATTATTTTAGTTTACGCGAAAACGATGGAATTCGGGGAAGCGCAATTGCGTTGCGCCTCTATTTTATGGTCGATATAATTTCGAGGAAATCTCAGGCGCGGATAGGAGGATTAAGAGCTAACGACGTCGTTATTAAATCGCCAATTACGTTATTACGTTGTGCCTGAAACGAGCGAGCGTGCCCCCTGCTCTTCTCCGCCGTTGACCTGGACACGTCCCGAAAGAAAAAGCGCCGCAACGAGTTCCGTGGAAATGCATTCCGTGCCGAGAGCATCGCGCCGCGCCGCGCCGCATCTGCCGAAGGCCGATGTTGTGCGACAGTAGGCAGACAGGCCGGGGCGAGCAGGGGCGGCCTGTCGGCCCACTGCAGTCCCGCAGAGCGGGATCGTTGTACGTTGTTGAATGAGCTCTTTGTGCCCCGATGACGATGATGCCAGAGCTGCGGCTGTGGCGCCGAGACACCGGCTTCTTCGCCAGGCCTCTCCTCGAAACCTCGAGTGTATTAACCGACCGATCGGCCAGCGGTGAGCGGCAGGGAAGGGTTAAGCCGTTAGTCGAACCGGTGCCGAATGTCGACCCCGCCCGCGCGCATTAGATCGGCGTGCCGATGTTGCACCAGTCTCCGCGAGAGACCGTACTCGATCCCGTCGTCATCTAACGCGCGATACGGTCCTCCTTGCACGTTTTATTACGGGACAACGCCGCGACGATTAACAGCTGTCGCGTGGCCGGGCGCGTATGGGGTACGCGAGAGGGGAGAGCAGAAAGGGTCTCTGGGTACGAGACTGGATCTGCACGAGAGCTACCACCTGGCCCGGCACAGACCACCACCAGGCTTCTACAATATTACCACGTGGCGGTTACCGTAGCGGAGATCCGATTCGAACCCGATTCCGTGCTTCGCACCTTCCCCCCATGCCCCCCCCCTCTCTCTCTCTCTCTTTCGACTCTACGCGCGGAGAGCCACTGTATAATATATCGTGCACAGGACCATTAGGGGAGCGGACGTGAGTATCAACTGTATTCCTCTGATATATACATACACCAGGAAGCCCCGGGCAACGTCATCGTTATATTTTTCGAAAGATATAACAGATGGCGAATTATGCGGCGAATTTTGACGAATGATAAATTTTCAATTTTCATTTTTGGCTTTCGAAATGAAGCGGATGGGTACAGATTTCACTGAGAAATATCTTCATTAAAGTATAGGTAAATGCGCTGGAAATGGGACATTATATACGGGATATATTTGCGCGCGCGTGCGCGGGTGTGTGCAAGTTATATGCGCGGATATGACACAAAAATCACGTTATGCATGTAAATATGTCAGTTTAAATACTGATATAAATGTCATGCATCCCCGTGTACGCGCGCAGGGAAATAGTATCCCGCGCAAAGTTATCCGACAAACATACTTTATCCGATTAAAACACAAACGGCTGGTAAAATCCATAATGGTACCCTGGAAATGGTATGCAGTATTTTTGCATCGTATCTTCCGCGCGGCGGTGGGAACGCGGGGAGGGTGGCGAAGGGTAGAATGTGAATCGATCCATAAACAAACCCGACGGTAGCCAAAGAGACGACTCACGTGGTACTGCCGACTCGCGTTCGATTGACGTCTTGTGCAAGTAATATTCGGTACGCGCGCAACGAGAACGACACCCTTAATAGATTAAATCTCATTTTATTGACTTAAGAAACTCTCCCTCCTGACGTCCATTAAGTGCTTTAGCGTCGTTACCGCATGCATTACAATAATTGTATTTAAATTCGCGAACTTCCTCTATCTCTTCTCGATTAATATTCTGATCCAATCTTATCGGTCACGTTACCGTAGGCGTCTAGCATCGGTTCGTGCCGCATCAGTCTGTAACGATTGTCCAGATGAATGGCCGGTTTCCATTCCTTTCCGAACGTTATCAGCTGAAACAGATGCGAGAGAGATATTTTTAGGAACGTAAATTACGAAGAATTTATTTTCACAATCTTAAAATCATAATATAATTACCAACATACGGGCAAATTCTCTGGCGAGGAATATATGAATTTAATTTTATATTATTTTGTGTATAACGGATGTGTGGTGTAGGTGCGTCGAGGGCACGTGTTATTTTCCAGTGATGATTATACGATATTTAATAATTTGCTGAATATTATACAATGGCAGAGAGGAGCAAAAAACTGAACAATTTCACTGATTGATTAAATTGATCGACTAATTGATAACTCTGACAAGTCTCATCATCATTTAACATTCTTCGAATATCGATTGACGTCTATACCTGTCCGTTTTATTGACATTCCTCTTTCTCTCTGTCTCTATCTCTTTGAAATATGTCGAATTTTCGCGAACGTGTCTTACGTCGCGTCCCGGCGGCGTGACGCGGAGTTTTTAATGAAAGGACGGGAAAGAGCAGCAAAGACGATGGGCGCGCATTATCGTCCCCAAAAGTCAACGCCGACAGCCATGTTAGCGCCGTTACCGAAAATCCTGGCGACGTCGCTCGCAATAAGCCGCTTACCTATAGCGCACCCCGCCGCTTGGCCTCTCTCGCAAACCGTCTACCCTTCGGGCTATGAAGTTTCTACGTCGTCGCCGCCGCGGCTGTCAATATTAAACCGAGCCGCGCCTCGTGTGCCAATGGCGACAATAGTTACGAGGACTATTGTGACCTTGGCGATGTCGTTTAATCATTTGACGGTCGTCCTTTATTACCGCTCTTCGCGCGCAAAATCGTTGGTTCGCCGAGAAACATTGCCCCGTCGGAGATCACCCCGTAAAGCGCGACGACAAAAAATATACATACTTTTTCCCGTTTATTTTATTTCATATTTTTCTGCGTTGAATAAAAGTGTGTTATTATTGAAGGGAGAGTCTTGTTTATCTCGCGATCGCGTCAACGCGGGGTTCCGGCCCTTGAAACGGCGACGTCGTCATCGATAAGAGATTTTTCGGATTCGAGTGCGAGCGCGGGACGACGAGGACGACGTGCCTACGTGGCGTTTTTCGTATTTACCCGAGTTCTTTTGTGTACACGCGAAGGGATGGCGCGCGATGAAAGGCCCGGGGCCGAACAAAAAGCACAAAAGCTATCTCGGAGCCGGAGCAATGGCCGCCGCGACTTCGCACCCTTTCTCCCTTGCTCCCCTCTCCCCCCTACAAACGAGATTCGTTGTAGCCTGTCGTCGAGTCCCGAAGCGAGAGAAAGCTCGTTTTTATTGTCGAAATAACGACAGTCGAAGCAGACGCGTCCAGGAAGGACGAGACCGTCGGGGCACTTTTCCGCGCGTATCGCGGTCGCGCTAATTAATTCCGCGAAGTTCACTCCGCCGCGCCGCGCCGACCGACCGACCGACCGACCGACCGAACGGACGGACGGACGGTCGCAAATCAAGAGGAACGAAAACGTGATCGAACGAAACGTGAGCACGCCCTACTTTTCAGCGCCGCGGGCTGAATTTTCGCCGTGGGCGAAAGCGTGACGACAATCGTTTGCGAAATCCTATCGGAAGTACAATCGGTGGATCGGCGGCGATAACGAGATTGGCAGTGCGAGCGAGATTTTTGCCTGAATGTGTCCGTTCGGTGAAAGGCCGCATCTTTGCGAGGCGTTTTTCTTTTGCGTGAGGATGTTTGAAAGAGTGAGAGAGGAAGAGAAAGCAGGAGTAGCACGAAAGACGTGCGCGCGCGCGTCCGTGCGCAACATCGCCGAATATGGATTTAATGCGGCACGGCGGAAATCGAATTATGTCATTAGAAGCCACAAAGGAGACACTCGCGTGGAAACCTTTGCAAAACCTTCCCGTAAGCCAAATGCCTGACCCGAATACACACGGGTCTTCGCCGACCGCCGGGTTCTCGTTCGATCGCTGGCCGTTTTTTTATGGTTTCCGCCGCGAATCGGCTAACACAATTGCGTTTAAAAATAACTTTTTTTTTTGACAATTTAATCGATTCGATGTAATGAGGAAACACAATGAGAAGAAAGATTCCGCTTTATTTTCTTATTAAATTAACGAGCAACATCCGCAAAGAAATGGCACTTCCTCGAAAGCTGTGAATCGATCGCTGATTGTGTAACCTTCCCTTCACACTTAATCTGTTTTCGTAATTAAAGTCTTAAAGGTTCGCGAATAATGCTCGAAAATCGTACCGACCTCGTTTACCCGACGACGCGGCCAGTCCCCATAAATTTTCGTTAAAGTTAATTGAGATTTAATCAATCCCTCTGTCCCTCCCGTCCTAGTTCTATTTTCAGGCTAGAAACGGCAAATCTGTTAAATCGTGATTTTAACGTAAATTAATATTTACGAGAACAGTTGGTAACAATATTCCATATAATTCGATGATATATGCAAATAATAGAATCTTCTTTTCATATTTGACTAAAGCGTTATGTGGAAACTTATGCTGTAATCGTATACGTGCACATGGGGAGTGGGTAGGTATGTACGTATGTATGTATCTACATGCAGGCGATGTTGGTTCGCTGTTTGCTCGCCGTATAAGCCCCGACACTTCGGAAAATGTTCGTTATACGTGTGCCCTGAATCGGCTGATCAGATTCCGATAGACTTTGTACTAAATATCTAATATCCGGCGAAGCCGAGGCACACGAGATTTACGATATATTCTCGTGCGCCCAACTCTGCCGCCCCAGTCGTTATATACCCCTATTCGTCGATAAGTCGCGTCGTTCTCTCTCTCTCTCTCTCCCTCTCCATAATACACGTGCGACGTACTAAAGCTTGACGCCTTGACGTCACGAGTGTGCCGAAAGCACACTCTCTATTGCAACTGCCTGCACAACTTTTTAATCTCGGGGAGAAGTAATAAAGTATCGAGAGCTCTCGGGGAGCACGAGCGTTTACGACGCGGCAATAATTCAAGGGTATTCCACGCGAAAAGTTAGCGAGGCGATCGCCGCTCGAAGGGTTTTGTCCGCGAGAGGGATGTTTTAATTTAATAAATAACGTTGAAGGCGAACGCGGGATATTCTCCTCCTCCTCCCGCGTTGCCGCACGTCTCCGATTGCCCGGAAAGATTAAACGCGCCGGATTCCCGGTGCCGCGCTACGTTGTATTTCGCAGACCCGCTGTCTACCCCTACGGCGTATTGATCTCAGGGGGATGATTTTTAAGACGAGTTTCGCGCCAAGTGCCACAGATGGCATCACTTTGCAGCCGACGAGTTCGATGGGAACCCTCGAATTTATTGTGCGTCGCCGGCTCGCGGAACGCTTGCACTTCCGTGCAAATATCGCGGATAAATATTCCTCCGGAACGGAGTCGTTCGCGATTAACAAGCGGACAATGATTTTTTTCCCCCGATACCTCTTATCGTATTTCCGATTAATTTTAATGTTTATACATTATAATATTTTTATACTATTATATTTTTATCTATTATATTTGTGCCCTTCGCAATTAACAACGGATAACGATTTTTTTCCCCGATATGTCTTATCGTAATTCCAATTAATTCTATTTATATAATTTTATTTGTATATTATATATTTTTATATCATATCTATAACGTTGTTTAACGTATTTAATGTTAGATCAATATTGACGCACGGGCTTATTTGCATTTATAATTTGGGATAAGAGAAATAACAAATTAATCGTGGGAGAGAGAGAGGGAAACAGTAAGCTGAAAATATTTCATCGGATTTGCGGAACCGCGACAGCGCGTCTCGAAAATAAAAATTAAGAAGTATTTATCTTGTATAAAGACCTTTCCCGGCACTTTGCTGCGAGTTAGCTCGCAGCAAGTTCGTATTAACTTCGTACTTACATTCCATAATAATTAATAAGAGACAGACATAAATAACGGAACTTTCTGGAGCGTGCAACGCAAAACTTCTGAAAGCTCACTTTGCGGGAAGGCGTTTTTATTATCTCCTCGCGTAGCACGATATTACGAAGTTCGGAGGAAGAGGTCCTCACTGCAGTGGTGCGCGTCGCGCGATAAAGATATGGAAACGTGGCGGCGGTTCGGAACGCAGCCGTCGCGTTCCTCTTCTCCGAATACAGATTTCCGTTTCGCGAAATCCGGCTGCGCAAGAATGATTCTCGCGTTTTATTCGATCGACAATTTTACAAAGTAAGACACAGATTTTCTGCCGTATATCTCGCTGAGGGATCTCGGGCTCGCCGAGATCATAATGATTTCACGATCTTGCGCGGAGAAAGAAGAGAACTGTTAATAAAATATTACGCGCGGCTTTCTGCCGTCGCGCGGCGCGAAACGGTGCGGACGAGCGTCATCGCGCTGATCTCGACGGCTGAAGGGGGTTTTAAACGCCACGTGGCAAGGAAAGGGAGAGGTGTTGCCGAGCGTCACGCTTGTCCCGATCGCGAATGTTTGACGATTACGTCGCGTACACGCCGCCGAGGTTATTGACCAGGAAGTCGGCTTCGTCAAGGGGGTTGCGGGGATGAAAAGGCGGTGTCGACGACGGCGGTAGCGGCGGTGGCGGCAGCGGCGTTTCAAACGGGTGAGGGAGGAGGGGGGGGGAGACGGAGGAGGTAGCAACTGAGTTCGCCCACTGTTCTCTCAGAAGGGGTAGGAGTATTACAGATCTGCAATACAGTCGCCGTTCCCTTTTGCATGGCGGTTCGTTCGCGACTGTGGCGCTGTACGTGTGCGTGTTCGCGCGCGCACGTGCACGTGTATGCGTGTGTGTTTGCCTCCTCCTTGGAAGGAGGCATGCCGCCAACGGGGAATGGAAACGTTTTGTTGCCGAGGGAGGACGAGACGCGGTGGCGAGGTGGAGGGGGAGGGGGGAAAGCGGTTTGCGAGAGGGTGCTGTCGGTGGTCGGGCCGCGCAGGGTGGTACGGAATCAGACAGAGATCCGCAGGTGGTTCTCAATCCGCTGCCGACCTCGCTGCACGTCGCATTCGAATCGCAAGAATCCCC